CCCCAAAACCCCAAAACCCCAAAACCCCATGAGACATATATATAGTTGTATATATTATTAAAGGGCGAAATCTAAATTAATCATTTTGATAAATCAATTTTTAAAAATTAGGATATTATGTCAAAAAGGAGATTTAATCAGTAATGGATTTACCTTTATTTTTGTTGTCTTGCATTGCTCTTTTCATAATTAATTGCAATTTAGCTTTTAGAATAAAATGATGATGCAAATTACAAGACTCTTTAACAGAAAGAATCAGTTTATTATAAATTATAAATCTAAGATTTACATTAAGATAGAGATGAACTTCTAATAAGACTTATAGCCCATAACAATGAGAGATAAATTTAAGTTTTCATATCAAAAGTAAATTTTATTAACTTTATTGATAACATTAACATTTAGACTGTGGAAGAGCCTAATTCGTAATAATACCAATGGTAATGTAACTACTAAAATTAATACTGAAGTATAATCAGCAAATTAAATGTTACAAAGCAAGATAATTTCTTTATTGCAGTTTACTGTGAATCATAAAATTGCACATTCAGTTTACAAGCAGAGTTGACTTAGGATATCTCTCTTGAAGACGGACAGAACTATCAGCTGTATATACCCTACGGAGAAATTCGAGCATTCAAGTACACAATTCCCGCTAGACTACATGAAGGCTAATCAATCCTTGTTAGAGCTGCCTCAATGAGACAACTCCCGAAGGACTTCAACTTGCTAGTTTAACCTATGGATCCATAGTATAGGAGTGAGGCATTCCAACTGAAGGGCCGGGAAGTCTGGAAGCGCGGCTAAGTTGTGATGATAATGCTGGGAGATAGTTAGGGATATTGTGCTGGATGTGAGGTGCAGGTGGTGATTGAGTCTGGCGAGTCTGCCTACTTCTAAGTATCGGCAGAGACAGAGGAGGAAGTACTGGAAGTGCATGAGAATATGATTCGGAATGACCTGGTGTTTGAAAACAAGACTAAGTGTTTCCTCTACTTTGTGAGGTCAGACTTGACTGATTTGATGATCAAAATTGCTACCTTTCAAGGAAGAGTTAACTTGTTGATTAAAAAATACGATTTTCAAGAGAATGAAGAAAAAGATTATCAAGAGAATGAAGAAAAAGATTATCAAGAGATTGAAGTATATGATAGGATAGATTATAATTTATCAGAGTTTATTGCGAATATCTCCTCTGACTCTAGGCTATATATCTTCAATCGGCCTATGGGAAGCTATTCAATCTGTGTCTAAGGTTTATAATTTGTTTCTTTTTCACTTAAAGTATATGAGATTATGAATAATGATGAGACTGTTGTCAACACATTTCTCTAAGATGGATTTGAGGAGGAATTTAAACTACTTGGTCAGAGTATAAATTATCACTAATACATTGTACCTATCGAGGGAATCAATGAGAAAATTCTTAGATTTTAATTTAATATTTAGCCGATAAGTGGAGGTGATCCAGAAGTTGGAATACTATTTTGTAAAAAGACCATTAAAAATAAATGCCTATTGGATTTTGATAAAAAACTTAAAAACACTTCTATGGATAGCATTCAGTATTTAAATAGAGTTTATCCCACTGGATAGAAGTTTAAAGCAGAAATTACTTATGAATACAATGATTGCTAATTAGATAATCAGTTGGATGATTGTTTATATATAGTTATAGTTCAAAATAATTAACTAAGATCCATCAGCTATAAAATCTAAGTGAATATGTTATTTTCAGATTTCAAGCAGATGCGAGAAGGCTAAATTGTAGCTGATGAGGTTGATCATAATAAATATTCATATTACTAATTCAAACTTGCAGATGACTATAATATTGAGGCAATTCAAATTAGACTTGATAAACTTCATGGTGATGCTAAGCTTATTGCAAGTTCGATGTTTTCCTGGCCTACATTAGAATATAGTGAATATAAGGGCAGCATTTAGAATTCTGAGTATGAAATAATTGAATTGACAAGAGAGAATAGGGAGTATTATTCAGATTAGTCTCCTAGAACTTTGCAAGAGACCTATTCTATAGGAGTTTATGGCGATTCCTATGCCACCTTCACATTATTGATTACACTGTTAAGAAAAAATTAGCAAGTATTAGGTTATGTAAAATCATCAATTAAGCTACTAGAAGGAGTATCTCTTCATCAGAAAATTGGTAATGCAGATTAAAAAATCAATAGCTACTTTTATTTGGATAGTCTTTTCGATGATATTTTGTTGATAGACTACAATAATCCATTAAATAATACAATTACATATGGTAAACTTAACGAATAACCCAAAGAGAATGATTATGATTTTGTTCTAGAGCATGGATTAAATTAATTCAACAATTAAGATGCCTATAAGGTTTTGAAAGCCAATGCAATATATTATCTCATGACAAAAGCTAACCCTTAAAGAAAAATCTTAAATCAAGAATAGAAAGATGATTTATAATTCTCATTAGTTTGGAGGAGAAATAGCTGGAGATAGCACATCAACTCTAATCAGTAATTGGATATTTACTAAAATACTAAATCAACTTAATTATTAGGTTTCATCCATTACTTGATGGAAAATAAATATGATATAAAAATAGCAATTAAGTCTAGTTAGATCTAAGATCTATAAATTCTCATTACCTTTCAAACTAAACCTGCATAGTCTAATCATGACTTTCAGAGTAAGGATATTGACTGGATTGGAAATTATGGAATAATTACTATTTCCAGAACTTAAATATCTTAAGCTACACCCGAATGCTCTGATTTCAATTACATTTCTAGCAAAGTTTGTACTTTATACATAAATATCTACTGTTTAAATCCGTTAGGTTGTATATCTAATTTAGAGCTTTCATATAGAAGTCCAAAGAATTAATAATTAAAAGAAGGTTAGATAAGATATTCCTCAATAAAATAGAATGAATTCTAGACTTATCATTATGTAAAAGAATACAACAGGACAGAATAATGGATAGTCTAGCTATAAAATCTACAAGGCCATTGCTTTATCATAGCAATATTTATCCTAGTGAATAGTAATAATCTTTTACCAGATGAATAATAGATATAAAGCTTTTTGCTAAAAAATGCTAATTATTAATCTGTCTCTTAACTTGGAAACGAGATTATGAGTTTTTCTGGGGGCTATTATGATTAATGCAGTACATCTAATAAAATAAATGAAAATGATACTAACTATTGCTATATCTTTTTTGGAGTATTTCCAAAGGAATATACGGACTCTAAATCAAGAGATAAAAATGAAGTTAACATATTCAGTATCATCATTTAATTTGGTCTTTTGGAGTTGGATTTAATTACAAGAACTCATTTTGTAAATTTACAATCTGGTCAGTTTACTTACCTAGTTTATCTTGATCAAATGTAGACATCCAAGATTAGACTCAATGTAGAATCTTACAACTCTTCCCTCATTGAAATATATGCTAATAAGGGATTACTTTAACCCTCCAGGACTGACTTTGATTTTAGGAAAGAATTTGATTAATAAAATTTCTTAGAAATAAGTATTAGTTCACCCTATTTTTAAGAGAAAAATCTTACTTAGATGTCTGATTATTATGTTTTTGGATTATTTTCAACGAATAACCAAACAGTTCAAGTTTCATTGGATACATAAATTTCCAAATTTTAATAATTAATTCCACCAGGATCATATGAATTATATTTGGAGTAGTTTGATACTGCAATTTATAAATGTTTTATGTGGCAAAAATTAGGAAGAATGATAGACTTAAAGGTAATAACTGGAAAATTATCATTCTTTATATTTCAGGCGAATACGGAGGATTTACCATAATTATAAGAATAGTATATAGATGAAAATTATATTAAATCAAAACACACCTGGTAAAGGTAAAACATAACTTCTCTCTCATCAGAGGAGGAATCTTAAATAGTGATTTTAAAATAAGATAGAAACTATTGCATTAATTGCATAATATTCTTGCTAGTTTGCACTTATGAACAAAAAACTTAATTCTAAATAAAAATTAGTAATCTCGAAAATGCTCAAAAATAATTATATTTCCTAAGTATTGGAGAAATAAGAAGAATTGAGCTATAAGGTAAAGAAACTAAGAAAATTAATGTATTTATAATTGAAAACATTGATCCTATATCAATTACAACCACAATTTTATCTGGATCTATTAATCTTTACATTTCTTTGACACCAGACATTAACAATGCTAATTATGTTTACTCAAATCCAAATATTGTCAAATTCAACCAGAGTCAATTTATTACAGGAAAGCTATACTATCTAATAGTTTAATCTAATAGCGAATACTCATAACTTACAATTTAGATGACTTAAAATATAACAATTACCAGTCTTTAATAAAATCTTCCATAGGTTGTGAATTTCAGTAGCTTTAATGACAATAAAAAATTATTCACGTACAAATTACCATCTGGAAATGCTTAAATACAGATCAATATAAAGACGAGAGCAAAAGGATTTTATCCTACTATATATTACTCTATTGTAAATCAAAGTATCACCTAGAAGGGAATATTCCCTCCAGATGAATAACTAGACAACAGCAAGCTGACAATTAGGGATTGGGACAAAAATATCTATCAGCTAGATATCTCTTTCGAGCTGGAAAATTCTTTGCCAAATCAGATTTTAGCAATGTCTGTCATTTACTATAATGAAAATTTGACATATCCAGATGAAAAAACAGATCTGAAGCTAATTGAGAATCTAAGAAGTGATGCTTAGATTATAATTACTATTTCAGATTCAAGTATTCATAAAATATTGCCATCTACAGAATATTCTTTTGCTTTCAAAGACTTAAAACCATTGATTTTCAAAGTCTCATTTTCTACTAACTCAACATTAATAATAAAACTTTCAGACTGCAAAGGACAGTCGTAATTTTCATTGATAAAGAATTTGCAAGATCTTAATACTAAGAGAATCAACTTAACGATTACTGAGGAGTACGGTTATAAAGTTGCAGTTATCAGCAATTTGACAAGAGAGTACTTTATTGTTGTTGAGCCATTCCAAGTCCTCGATAGGTCTCAAAAACTAGAAACTGAGTTTATGATATTTTATGAAGTCACTGAATCATAACAAAAAATGAAAGAAATCTAAAGCAATTACATTGCAGAAAACTTTGGATAAATATAATATGAGCAGCAGAAAGATTCATAAGGATCAATAAAACTAAGCTGGGGTGATCTTTACACTAAGCAAGTTGGATAAGATTCACAAAGAATCAATGGAGTTAAATATAAACTTATCAAGACTAATGACTTATCAGTACAGCTAGGGCATATTTGTGCTGTTAAGCATTTAAAAGAGTTTAAGATACTCATAGACGAAAGCGAGGGAGTTAATACATTTATAGATGAAGAATTATCTGATGAAACTGTACAATATAACGTATTTGCTATGCTTGATGAATAATCAATATCATTTCCATATAAGCCTATCCTTGTAAAGAAGTAGGATTTTGCTATCTAGGATTAATCCCAATTTTTAGTCCTAGCTATTTGCATAGTATTGCTTTTATTAGTCACAGCTATTGCAATTGCGATTTATTTTTACTTTATTACAAAAATACTCAAGAATAGACTTAGCTCCAAATATGAAACTAAACAGTTACCATAGCAAACTGAAATTACTAATCCAAATAACAATACTCAATTGGGAGAAATTTCTAGTGATGTTATTTTTCCTGATGTTGCAAACTTGAACTTGAACTTTGATTAGTAGCCAGGAGAAATTAAAGCCTTCAGAAAAATAAAGGAGGATGAAAATATTGAATTTGAATGATTTAAATATCAATATCCAACTAATTTGAATATTATTTACTTCTATTGATTACTGCATGATTTTGACTCACGGGGTTTTGGGGTTTTGGGG